TATTCTCTTTATCCCTGCGTTCATGACAAACTATTCTTCCTTATCTGTTTGTCAATGTGGCTCAAAATGGGTAGAAAGAGAGAAGGAAAGAGACAGCGTGTGAGCTGAGAACGAGTCGAAGAGTGTGCTGCAACCCGATGCTGCGTCGCTGCTTCCCACTGCGCGGCATTGAGCGCACTGTGACGAAAGGCAACTATGTGCTCTCTCACCTGTCCAACGGTCTGCGTGTGCTGACGTGCGACGACGGCAACGGCATCACCGGCATGGGGCTCTTCATGTTGAACGGGACTAAGTTCGAGGACGAGACCAGCGCCGGTGCTGCTGCTGTGTTTGAGTCCCTGCCGATGCGCAGCAACCAGATTTACACGGGCCGCGAGATGAGTCGGGCCATCGGCGCCCTCGGCAACGCCTTCAAGGTAACTAACAACAAGGAGGCTCTATCCGTCATGCTCATGGTGCCGCGCTACCACCAGAAGGACGGACTAGAGCTGCTCAACGCCATGTGCTTGCACCCAACGCAGGACGAGGAGGAGTTCCAAATCGCAAAGGAGAAAACACATGAGCGGGCGCTCTTGTACAGCCGCGACGCGACGAGCATGTGCCTTGAGCTGGTGCACGAGGCAGGGTGGAACGGCAAAGGCCTCGGCCGTCCCGTCAACCCGACGAAGGACGACCTCGAAAAACTTACGCTGGAGAAATTCAGCGCTTTCCACCGCGCCTGCACACGGCCGGAGCGCACAGTGCTCGCCGCCACTGGCGTCGCAGACCACCAGCACTTTGCCACGGAGGCGGAGCGTATTCTGCAATTCAACAGCAAGGCAGTGACACAGAGTTCGCCTGGCCGCCACCCTTACACCGGCGGCAGCAGACTGGTGCAGCAGACGGAGGCACCAGAGAGCATGAACAAGTTCCAGGAGAAGGACCTTAGTCACGTGGCGCTATTCTACCAAGGCGTCCCGATCAACCACCCGGATTACTACACCATAAGCGTGATTCAGACACTCCTTGGCGGCGGTACGTCCTTCAGCTCCGGTGGCCCAGGGAAAGGCATGCAGACGAAACTCTTTCGCGAGGTACTCAGCAGGGAAGGTTTTCTGCACGGTCTGGAGTGCATCACGGCATGGTATAGTGACGGTGGCTTGATCGGGCTGTACGGCAGTGCGCCGCATGAGTCCGTGTACGCACTGCTGAAGGTGATGATTTATCAAGCCGCCTCCATCTGTCAACGCGTGAGCCCCGCACACCTTGAGATGGCGAAGAACCAGCTGCGGTCGCAGCTTATCCTCCTCGGCGAGGGGCGTGAGCAACTGCTCTCCGATATGGGATTTAACATGGTGGTACACGATCACATCATCACAGCCGAGGAGACAGCGGAGGGAACGCGGCACATCACACTCGACGGGTTGCAGCGGGTCTGCGCGGAAATGATACGCAAGCCGATAACCTTTGCCGTCTATGGCGAGACGTCGAGGATGCCGTCACACACTAAGCTTGTGGAAGTCTTGCAAAACACATACGAAAAGATGAACTGAGAGGAGCTCACTGCGTGCGTTTGGTGGCTGTCTGCTCTTCTCTCTATCTCTGTCTGTCTGTCTGTTTGTATGACACGCACACATACGTTCAGTTTGACTGTGTGTCCTGGCACTTTTTGTTGTTTCCTCGCACCTATGCCCCCGCCGCCACCCAGTTCCAAAAAAAAAAGGGTGTGGGAGGGGAAAGGAGCGAGGCAGCGGGGTTTATACTTTAGTGTTGTGTCGTGGACATGCAGCTTTGCTTGTTGCCCCCTTCTCTCATTAGGTCTGACAGCAGAAAAACAGTCACACATAGAGAGAGAAGCAGGCAAGGACTCGAGATGCGGAGGCCAACATAGACGCTTCGCACGAAAGGTTGTGGGAAGAGCCGCTTTGCTGCAATGCGTGGCAGGCAAGTCCAAAAAACACCGACAGCAACGGAGTTCGGGCATCATCGGCTGTGTGTGTCTTTACAGTAATGACTTGCGAACGGATGCGGCAAAAGCTGCGAGACAAAAACGCTCCATTGTCTGTGACTTTCATACTCCATCACTCGTTTCAGCCGCCGCCATGGTGTGGGTTGGCTGCTATTTCATCGACGCCCAGCCGCCAGTGCATTAACGTTTGCCACCTGAGTGCTTCTGGGCCACGCCTCCCTCCGCGTACCTGCAAAAGAGTGTGTTTCAGCCCTAGAGTGTTCTTTTCCCCTTCCTGTTTTTCTCTGCTGCGTCCATCACGTTGCTATGTTTCTCTCTTGTGTGTTTTGTTGTGTGTCTCTTTTTCCCCTCTGCAGGCCGGTGAGCTCCAAGGAATACTGATGCTTGCGATGGCTGTGCGACACGTGCTGTGCGTCCTCGTTGTTGCGCTGTGTTGCGCGTGTGACTCTGTGACCGCATACTATAACCCTATAGATGACACATGGACACCTCAGCGCATTCTAGAGAAGTTGAGGGACTCAGCGAAGCGAGCGAAGGGAGAGAGCGAAGAACTCAAGAAAAGAGCAGTGTCAGCCAACAGCACGGCGCCGCTGGCGAGGAATG